AGGAGAATGGCCCCCTACTGCTGGTCTTTGAGAGGGAGGAGAAGGAAAGCAAAAGACTGGGATACTGGGTGTGTCTCTTTCCTGAAAGAAGCGTACAGGTGTTCAAGTTAGATCAGGAAGAAGTCTTCCTTATACATAACCTATCTAACTTCTGGCATAAGAGTTATATTTTTTTTGCAGGAAAGCCCTTGAATGGGTGTATGCTCTCCTTTTAGTGCTGAGAGGCTTTTTTCTTGACACAAATTTGTACGTGGCCTTTAACTGCTACAAAAGGGGGGAAGGTAGACTTGAATTTTGGAGTGCATATCAACTGCTACGATATAACCTCTGGTACTGCAGTTAATACAAGTGAGCTAGATCACTGTCAAAGTTACCATCAATGAGAGTGAAGTTAGTTGCAATGATTTTACTGCAGTTGTGTTGCTACAGGAGCATGGAGACAAACTACATCATAACTGCTTGTATAGGTATCAGATGATGTGACACAATCTTACATCTGTTTAGGTTTACCCGGTTCTTTTTGTTTCTTTGTTTGTTTTAATCCTGTAGCAAATCAAGCTGTTTGTTCTCCCCTCCCCCTTTCCTTCCTGCATACTAGGAAGGAAAAAAATGCTGTATTTTTTTTAACGGGAATAGTTCAAAGTATGGTGATGGGGAATGTATAATTAAACTAGCAATCACCCTAAACACACCAAAAAAGCTGTGATATACAGCCAAGCCCTCAGATACCACCCCATTTGTACTGAAGAGAATACCCGGGATTGCCACCTCACCAATCTTAAAAAGGCTTTCACCCAACAAGGACAATCCTCCAGAGAGGTAGATCGCGCATTTGAAAGAGCCACCTGGATACCACGTGAAGAACTGCTGCAGTACAGAAGAAACCCCCCCACAAATCGCACACCGCTGGTTATGACATATCACCCCTCCCTTGAACCTGTACAGAAAATCCTCAAAAAATTGCAACCCATACTAGACAGAGACCCTATTCTTAAAAAGATCTTCCCAGAGCCACCCATCCTAGCCTTTAAACAAGCACTGAACCTCGCTAACCTCATCGCCAGAAGCAAACTTCCTCAAGCCCAGAACACACCAAAAGGATCCAGACCGTGCCAGGACAAGAAATGCAAAACCTGCCAACACATCTCCACCACCCCCACTATTACTACACCCCATAACAGAGCCATCAGCTTCCCCGGGTTTTACAGCTGCACCTCCAGAAATGTAATATACCTCATCCAATGCACCAAATGCCCTGATGGAAAATATGTAGGAGAGACCAGACAACAACTGCGCACCAGAATGAACGCACACCTGAAATCTATCAAACACAGAAATACCCAATTACCGGTGGGGGCACATTTCTCACAGGAGGGCCACTCTCTCTCTAATCTCTCAGTCCTGATTCTCAAGGGAGACTTACACAACACTTCCCAGAGACGAGCCTGTGAGCTCCATTTCATCAACCTCCTGGATACTAGAGATCATGGGCTAAACATAGACATTGGATTTTTGATACATTATAATCTGCCTGGCAACTGACTCCCCAGCCCAGCCCAGCCCCTGGCTTCTTTACTTTTCATTCCATCCAGAAAGAGCACACACCAACTGCTGACACTTCCTTAGCCTGACGAAGGGTTTTTGAACCCGAAGGCTTGCTTAATAACTTTTCTCCAACTATTTGGGTTGGTCTAATAAAAGATATCAAATTCACCCAAGGAACCTTGTCTGCCTAATTAAACTAGATGCATTTTTGACGCTGTCTTAAACCTCTGCAAAATACAGAAGTACTCAATTATAATATACACTTAAAGTTCTAATTGTCCAATACTTTTAACATTTTTGTCTTCACAGATGTCTGTCAACAGATGGGTCCTATGATAGATGAAAAGCTAGAAGAGATAGATAGGTGAGGCTTAATCTCTTACTGGTATTTGCAATCAAGGGTAAAACATTGCTATATATATTCCACTTGTGTTTTATTTATTTGTGTGCGACTCAAGGGTGTGTGATTATAACATTTTTTTATACTTCTCTTTCACCTATACAAAGATCTTTCAGAATGAAAATTTGACAAGAACTTTTTTTACTCTTCTTTTTATTTAGGGTTTTTTAAATTTTATTTCAGTAGGGCCTGGAAGCCTCAACCAAGAACAGGGCCCCATTATGTATCGGTATGTAGTAAGAACTAATTTTTGCCCTAAACATCTTCCTGACTAAATATGCAGGGCTGTACAGCAGCTCTTATTCTCCAAGTAGCCATCAGTGATGTCCAGAATTGTTTGATCCTGATGTTTTTCAGTCAGTTGAAGACCTGTAAGTGATACGGGAACATCGTTAAAATATGGCAGTTTCTACCTGACTTAGGATTTCATGATGAATGGGGAAAAGGAAAAGGCAGCAAAAAAAGACAGATCGGGGGATGCTTTTTTTTAGGTTTAGTGAACAATCCTCAACCTCTTCTCTGACTTGCCTCTTCCGGTTCCAGTAGTCTGACCAATGGAATGGGTACTGGAAATGTTGGAAATACAAGTCAAGTGTTTCTTTTTTTTTCATTTTTCTTACCTAATTAAGACTGTATTTTTTAAAAAAAATGTATTTAATGTTAACTACTGTTAAAGAAATATTTGAAAAAAAATTGTATTTAATCAGGAAACATTCAGAATTCTCTGAGTTGAATGTGAAAGTACTAGAAGCCTTGGAACTCTATAACAAGCTGATGAATGAAGCACCTTTGTATTCAGCCTATTCAAAACTCCATTCTCAAGCACAATATCCACCTACATCAGCTGGTGTTCCAGTGCAGGTCAGTGCTCCTTTTTTAATATTTTTCTAATATTCATTTTTCTTTTAAAAAGTTGATACGAAAGTATAAAGAGCAAGCTTTATTGCGAGCTTTAAAAACAGTCTGACACTTCCATGCAATCCTTTATAGCAGGAGTGTCCTTCACCCCTCCTTGAAGGTCAGATCTGGACAAGGGGGCTTTTCACAGGACGGATCTGGATGTGGTGGCAGCAGTGGGGCAAGCAGCAATTGAATCGGGGTTAAGCCTGCCATCACTTGCCTCCAACTGCCAACATGCGTCTCCAGCAGGTCTTCAGATGTTAGATTTTGGTGGTGGGCCCTGCCCATGTTCACTCTGCCCCAAATTTCTAGCTCCTCGGGGAGTCCTGCAGGTTGGATTTGGCCTGCAGGCTGGACATTTCAAACCCATAGTTTTTTAGCGTTTAGAATAAAATATCTTAAATGCATTAGAATGAAACGAGTATCTTTCATAATTACATTCTAGTACCAAAGTGCAGTTGTTAATCTTTGTTGTGCATTTAATAGGAAGATATTACGTTCAGAAGGTTGAAAGCTTTACTGCCACAGTTAACTAGTTTTTCAGTAGACATCACTCAGATAAAATGGTATTTTTAGAATCACACGTTTCAAAGGCTAAAAGCATAGATTCACTATGAGTTGTATGTTCTCCTTCAGTTCTAAAACGGAACGTTACTTTTATCTGTTTTCAGAGGCATGATTGAACTTTCTAATATTGTATGTGAATCATTAGGGCAATGCACTTTTTCTAAATGTAATGAGAAATCTGAAGCAGGATTACAGTCTTTCTACACAAATAAGCATTAGGCATTAGTGGGTTAAATTAACAAAAGTGAATTGGAATGAGCTGTTGTGTGCCAAACATTCATTTATGAAAGCAAGAAAAGGAGAAAAGGCAGGCACTGTTTTCAAGGAAACACTTGGGAGGCAAAGTAGAATGAGTATTTTAGGTAGTTTTTCCTGAATGTTAATTGTTCAGTGTAGAAAGAATAGTTACCATAGCAACTGCCACATCAAAGACGATGCACTTAACTATTATGCCATGCCTTGAACTATTGGAAATGAAAGCTTCATTATATTTGGGGGTGGAAGAATTCTGAGCACAAAGCCAACAGTAGTTTAATATTGCTATTCTTTTCCGAGATATTGTTCCTTTCTGCTGTGAAAACAAGTAAAATAGTGATAAGCACCATTGTTTTCTGCAAAGATGTATATTTCATGCATAGACTTCATTCCATGGAGAATATGACTTGTACCATATGAATATGATGTTTTCCTGTATGTATTTGTTACGTTGCCTTACTCTAGATTTGTCCTGAATAGTGATGTATTTAAGGAAAACCCATCCTTTGTGTGGAATACATACCTTTTCCTATGCAGTGACTATACACTAAATATCATTAAGATGGATGTGGTCACTTGCCAAACATTTAAGGAATTGTTACTTGTTTTTCTCTTATGTCAGATATAAGAGATGTAAAATTTTCCTGCCACATTCTTACATGACAGTAAGTTAGGATTGTGAGTTTTTGCATATCCTACTGTATTAATTTTTTTCCTCATGTTGTATGCTTGGTAAATTTGGTTTCTTCTTTTTTGTGATGCACTAAATTGCAAATATCTCTTAGGATGCATGTCCAAGGGAGATATAGTATAAATAAATATAGGGAGTGGGAGGATGGAGCAGTGACTTTTTTTGAAAGCTTTATATGTAAATTGTATGATATGAAATTGCTAAATGCAAGACAAGGTAAAAATAGAGCAAGAAGGCTGCCAAGAAAGGCAGAGATGACATAGATCAGGGCTGTCAGATATATGGCCCACACTCTGTCAAGCCCACTGGACTATCTGTATGGCTGGGGATAGTAGCCTGCTGCAGAATCTGGGGCCCTTGGGCCCCAGTAAGCATGGTGATCAGCAGCAGGAGGGGGAGTGAAAGCTGATGCAGCTCCGGTAGTCCTCCAGCCACTTTGCACGTCTGCACTGCTTCAACCCTACCTTCCTGGCTGCCAGACCCACTGCGTGCCCCGTGCTGGAGCTGGAGCCACAACAGAGGCACAGGGCATGCGGCAATTCTGGCTCTGGCCCCAACACTAGCACAGGGCATCCCTGGAACCTCTGCTGCGTGCTCTAGATCAGAGATAACCCTGCTGCTTCAGAAACTGCCACTGCCACTGCTTTCTTCTGCCTCAGGCTAGATCCAGTCCACAAGAAGCCCTGTGGTCCAGGGCGCAAAGTGAGTTTGATACCCCTGATACAGGTTATATGCATAACACTTGAAGGAGCAGTCTACCATATTGTAGCTGTACTGTCTCCAAGGGAATGTCAGCTTGATCTTTCCCCAACAAAATCACTAATATGAGTAGTGATGATTTTTCTGTTTAAATCCTGTACTTCCTTAATAGGAAGAAAAGCCACACGTTTTAGTTTCTCACTTATTTAATTTTAAATTGAAAATGTTGCAGGCTTTACTGTCATACTTGTAGCATGTAGAGCTATATGGAGGAAGTCTGAGCATTTACTTGACATATTTATATTGTGTGTTTATTATTAATTCAGAAATGGTATGCATTCTATTTTATTTATAGCCCTATCCACTACAGCCACCTGGTGGGAACTACATGATTCAGGGTGTTCACCAAGTCACTCTTCCCCAAGGTTACAGTCTAGGACCCGATCAGATGGGCCAACTAAGGTCTCTGCCTCAGAGTTTAAACACTTCCGGAGCAACTCAGCCTGCTCAGACTGCATATATAAGGTAATGCTTTAGCAAGATACTTGAATCTAAAGATTAATTTTCCCCAGTATATAGTTACGACTTTGTGTCTGGTGAGGCAAGGAGTGGGGAAGAAGAAGATTGGAATGAATATGAAAATACTGCTTTTTATTACTTTGGAAACATGCACATCCATTGTGCGCCAACGTGATCATTATGAGTAAATTTATTTATTAGTTACATTTTCAATGTAGCTTGTTCCGATGAGATCTTTTTTTTTTTTCTCTTCTTTTTTTTCCTCTTGTAGTGCTGGACCAGATTCTGTGTCAAACCCCACATATATGAACCAGAACTCTGGCCTTCAGTCAGCTACCAGTCAAGCTGCTTACACCCAGCAGATGGGAATGTCGGTGGATATGTCAGCTTACCAGAACACTACGTCTAGTTTGCCTCAAGGAACAGGCTACCCTATGGCAGTTTCCGCTCCTTCAGTTCTGCCGCCACAAACAAATTACCATCAACAGCCTCTCCTTTGAAAACAAACTAGGCTTATATTTCTGAAAGAGTTTCTAAATGTTGCTGAACCTAATGATTTATGACTGCCTGTCATTGATCTCAAAGTATATTTTCAACAACCCAACTTGCGTTATTATGCAAAGTAAAACATACTTTGTTTGACTTTTTTGTTCAGAATCGCCCTAGACATGATTTGAGCTAGATTAACTAACTAAAGTTTATGATTTCAAACCCAAAGTGAGTATCAATCAACTAAAACACTCCCTTCAATCTCTTGAAGCATCACTTTCAAATCTAAAATTAAGTAATAGATTGTCCAAAAGAGAATTGATTCTTTTTTTCAGTATGTTTCTGAAAAATTGAGGTTGTTTTAAAATCAGTTCTTTGTTGCTTTGTCTGTTACCCTTTTGCATTTTTTCCATCTCATTGACTTAGGGAAACCTTCATTTAAGTGGTGTTTTTTGATTTAGACGCGTTGTAGTCTTGTTTGCACCATTGTCAGCTCTACTGTGTGGATTGTATTACATACCCAGAACAATTGCATGGTAAAGAAAATGTGAACTCGAAGAGGAAATTGTTTTGAAGACATGGCAATGAGGACCATGTAAATACAAAAATGAAAAATGTTAAGATTTTCTTCTATATTACAGCCAGACTGGATTTGGAGCTCTGGAGGTCTCCTCTTTCCTCCACCAGGTGTTGTGTTGGTAGGGAGCTGTTTCACTGCTTCTCTATAGGAGTTTATACTTTAAGCATCAGATGTTTCAGAAGGGCAGGCAGGGGCAGCTGCAAACTGAGAGCACTCTGTGGTTGCAAGTTACCTAGCCAGGAAACTGTGATCTCTCTCCTTTGTGGTGGTTTAGGAATGGGTAAGGAATAGGCACCAAAATGCTTGTATTGAGGGACTATGAAGGTCTGCTTTGTTTTCCTCTCAAATAATGGTAAGGTGGAGAAGACCCCCAGGAGCAGAATTATCTTTACAGACCAGGGAACTCTTGCTACCTTTGATTCCCCTCCTAACCCCAGCTGTCAGTCACTTGTCTGGAATAAATATCAATCTAGTAATGGAAAAGCTCTTACACCACTTGAAAACATTGGTTTAGACCGCTGTGTAAAAACAGGGGATGTGTTCTGGGTGGTGGAATTATATTTTCTTTATGCATAAAGAATGGGTACATGTTGAAATGAAAAGGAACTGCTTTGTACTTGTGGAACTGTAGCATTCAGCAGATAAAAAATCTGAATACATTTTCCTGCACTTTTTAATGGGTAGCTTTTGTAAAGGGTAGAAGAACTAGAAGAGTTGGATATTTTTTCACGAATACAGGACTTCTTTCCTTTTATTGTTTTTACTTTGGAAATCTGAACATCACTCTCTTCCCACCTACTTAATCAGCTCAGTAATGTAATCATATTTATAAATATTTTAACTTTATGAATGGCTTATCTTTAGACTGAGGAAAATAATGGACGAAAGCACTTGGATAAAACCATCCGATTAAATGCATGGAATTGTTGAAAGCATTTCTGCATATGAATGTTATGGTGTATAATTTTTCTATCAAATGAAAACTATTACACTGTAGATCCTACTAGTGTTCTCCCAAAATAAAATGTACGCTCAATTCAGTGCCACCTCCATTTCTTGTACTGTTACTAAATTGATTCAGTAGTATGATTTTGTTCAATTGTGGCTTCATATTAGAACAAAGTGTTTGGTAATTGTTCTTTGAATGGTACAAATTCCAAGTGTGCATAACTTTTGCAAATTTTTTGGCATTTAATTTTCACTTGAAGCTGTTTAATAAAAACTACTCTAGTTGGCATCATATCCGTGTTTTGATAACACATTCCTTCATTCCTTTTTTAAAAAATATCACAAATTCATTTCAAATGGTGATTTTTATTTATTTTTTAAGGATTTCTAACCATTTGGAAATTCTTTATGCAAGGACTTGTTCTAGTCAAAAATATATTGAATCAAATTTAACCCTACTAACATTTATGTAGAATCAATCACATTTGTCAGTAAAATATACAGGTAAGTTTTTGTTTGATTTATAGTCTCTGATCCATCATAAATATTGTCCAGTATCTTAAATTGGGATGACAAGCATTGACCAGTTACTGGATTAATGTTTGATTCAAATTTAGTTCTTAATATAAATAGTGTATATACTCATTTGTCTGAGGCTTTATGCACATTATGACATATACATTCACTCTATAAATAAACCTGAAGTTTTATATTGCAGGATTTGGCATCCCGTCATTTCTTGTAAGCCTAATTCTTTGATGCATTTATGCAATTTGTAGATAGTGTAAAATATTTTGATTTTTGTCATTAAAATGGTGTATTTAGAGGGTTTGGTGTTAATGGGATCACTTTTTCTCTTCATACTTCAAAACATTATCATATTTATTTTTAAGGCCTGATTGTAACTAAATATACTGCCAAAGGAACTATCTAACTTCGGATTTCTACATTAGGTTTATACCTACTGTTTTATACCGGGGTAAATAATAGAGAATGTCTGCTTTTTCAAATAAATCCTTAATGTTTAAAATAGAAAAACTATTCAACTTTATAATGAGAATTTTATTGTACTATTTGTTTTATTGATGTTGAAGATGTTAATACAGGATAAGCTTTCTTCTAGTATGAGTTTTGGAAACCTAAGAAAAAACCCTGGAATAAGAAATGTCACTTTCGATTGACTGTTATACACGGACATGCTTTATGAACGACTGTTTCCAAGAGCCTGCATTGACAAACATCTTGTCTGTTTTTAAACTATGGAAATTGAAAAATAAAATCAGTAATGTAATTGTTAAAATTTTAAAAAACATGTTTTTGTTTATTTCATTAGGATTATATTTTCATATTCATAGTATCCTCTGGACTATTGTGATTCAGTGAAAAGTTGTCTTTTCAGCAAAAAGTGGTGGATATGATTTCAGCTCCATCCTTTGTTGGAACTGTGCTCTCCTATAAGAGCATTCTTCTTGTCTTATAGCTATGCATCTATACTAAAAAGTACAGCTCAGTAATGAAACACAAGCAGGATTGGTTTCTATATATCTAGTGAGTAAAACTGAGTCTCTTATTTCTACACTTACTAGATTCATTGTACATGAAACAACACTACATTAACATATTTTTAGAAGATGAATATAGGAAGGGAAGAAAAGATAAATATAGGCACAGTCTCAGTTGGTGTAAACTGCCATAGTCTCATTCACTTCAATGGAACTATGACATCTTTCCCAGCTAGTGATCTGCTCCCGTGGCACGGCATGTCTGAATGTGTTCTCGGATCTCACATTCCAAATTAAGCTTTCACTGCTTCTATTTTGTCTCACTTTAAATTGAAGGGTAGATATGTTTATCAAAGGTAAAATATACTGGAGGAGAGGGTGACTGCAGTTAATGGATAATGATGTTTTTTTGAATTTGCAGTACTAAAAATAGGGGATTTCTTCCATTGGAGTAACCATATGTTTGCACTGCCTTGTGTGAATAAAAGGAACTTGTTTTAATCTGTGCTAGTAGAGAGTTTTCTGTTTTAAAATTACTTACCAGAACTATGTAACTTGTGCCTCTTTGATTCACTCTATTGGTTTTTTAAGCATATATAGCATAGCTATACATTGACAAAAATGTATAGCTATGGATAGAGAGAGCTCTCTCTACAAAATGGATGTTAAATCCATGTTAGGATGAGGAGAATAATCAACAGTTTTATTTACAAAGGATGTTAATTTTTCATATATTGATAGTCCGCTATATATAAGTATACCACACTTAATTTTTAAAATGTACAACCTGAAAAGATCCGAGTATCTTACTGTAACTAATGGAACATTGATTTAGAGCACTTCTGGTAACCATCTAACCAAAAGGAGATTGTTAGCTGAGACCAGAAGGGGAAAAGCCCTTGTCATACATTTTAAAAAGTGAAGTCATGGATCCAAAACACCTGAAATCAGTTCCTGTGATTCATTCTTAAACTGTGTCATTGTTTTGCATTATTTAAGTTGAGTCACTTTAACTTTTATGGAATGGTGTGTAACTAGTTTTAGACCCATATTTAAGTCTTGTAAAAGCCAGCATTTTCCAAACCTAATAGCAAAAGAACAGTTTTCAAAGATTTTTCATTTCAGAGAAAATCAACCTTTCAAACCATGTATTCTTGGTGAGATGACTAAAAACAGTGGAAGTGAATCATAGAGAAGAAGTAGGGCTGGAAGGGACAAGGTCATCTAGTCCACCCGCCTGCCTGAGGCAGGAAAGGTTGCCTTGCTTTATTCAGGGATTGAACCTACAACCTTGGTGGTGTTAGGGCTGTGCTCTAAACAAATGAGCTAATTGGTTATAAACTAATAAAATTTGAACAACTCCTTACTATCTTCATTTCCTGAACAACATATCAGTTGCATTACTGAGGGGATGCAACTGGGGCAGTGGCTTCAGGTGCTACCTTTGAGGAGGAGGAGGAGGGGGAGGGTGCAAAAACAGTCGCTGCCCAGGGTGCAGAGCTGCCCTGTTATGCCTATGAATAGACATGGGTGGGAAGTCAGCCAGCCAGAATCATATTAAGATTTAATTTAAGAATCCTTTTGTATTTAGATTAATTTAAAAAATTTTAAACACTTAATTTTTAGACTTTGGGATTAATGCTATTCAGTTCTTGCTCATGTTTCTTTGATCTAGGAGTTAGGCTGCCTAATTTCATTCAAGGAATTCCAGTATCTGCCACTTGTGAGCATAATGGATAAAACTGATCCGATGATACTTTTTTTTACCAGATATCTGTAGGGTATAAGTTTTTTTTTTGGCAAAAATTGGGAAACATTACAAGAGAGTCCCGCCCCCCACCCCCTCACCCTGCCGCACTTCTGGATATTATTCAAAATATAAAGTTAACAAAACTAGGGATGAAAACAATCTGCGTCCTAGTCATGTATGTGAAAATAATCTGTGCCGTAGTCATATAAAACATAAAGATAATCCCTACTGACTAAAAAGGTACTCTCCAAAGTGAATGTTGTCTTGGTTTCTGTTTGACTTGGTTTAAATACTGATCCATTTGCCAGTTTTCTTCAATCAGCAGGTATGACAAATAGTCTTCCAGTGACTAATCTTTGTTAAAAATTCATATTGCCCATTGACTGGATGAAAGGTGGCAGGATTACGAGTTAAACCTGTAAATATAATTGAAACTGTCACTTACATTTCTCAGAAATATATTTCCAGATCTACATAGAAGTAAACAGACTGTTCTAACTTATCTGAGCTTAATTTGCACAAAGTGAACTATTTCAACCAGGAGATCTTACAATACCTTCAGCTGTCTTGTGAAATATGAACTTTTATTTCCGCCTAGGAGAAATTTTACAATCTTTGCATTTTCCTACGCCTGAGGAAGGGTGAATGTGCTGGAAAGCTTGCAAATAAAGAATTTTTTTTTTTTTGCAAATATAGTTGGTCTAATAAAAGATATTACCTCTACCACGAGTTCTGCTTCCAGATCTACAGCACTTGTTTTTCTCTCCTTTCTCCTTGTCAGTTCTGATAAGACTATACAGCCAATAATGGCTTAGCTGGAAAAACCCATGCTTTTCAGCAGCATTACTATATGTGTAAATAATTGGTCTAGAAGCAAATAAGCTTGCATATATGTTTTCTTTTTTCACTTCTGTAGGAAGTGTTAATGTTCTTAAGCACATGAGTGGGAAGCAGGGAACCCAGGTCCTATTTTCAAGCCTTCCCTGGAATTCCTATGTAACTTTGAACAAACTGCTCAATCTCCATTTTGATTTTATTCCTCTGAAAATTAGAAATCATATTGCCGTATCTCAGATGTTTTAAGGTAATGTTCTTCAGTAGATGCATTGGAAGTGCTACGTACTATTACAACTGAGCATGTTTTAATGAGTTAGATTTTTGTTTCAAATCAGTTTGAGATTCAGTGGGTTACAGTGGGCTAACAGACTGGTGACAGTCTGGAGGCTCTGCATCCATACCTTAACCTGTCCAAGCCTGAAATCAGTGTAGTGTAGTTAAGATCCAGATATTCATGCAAGAACAAAATGCTTTCAGATTCATGATTTTTTAAAAACTTTTTTATAAGAGCAAATTTCTATCAGTTACGTAAATAAATGGTGGTATGTCAAAATTAGGTGCAAATGAAACATCTACCTACGTTTAGTTTGACATTCTTAAGTTGGATAAACCATCTGAAACGTATTCTCAAAGTGCACAGTGCAAACTGATCAATCATTCTAATATTATAAAAGCCTAAGTCTGTCTGTCTGTAACACTTCATTAGCACTCTGATTGGCTGACAGAAACAGCTAATCAAAGTGCTCCAGGCATAGGGGAGAGTGCTGCCATGATTCAGAAGCTGTGCCAAGGACTGGACAGGGTGGGGGAGCCGATTGGCTCTCTGCAAGAGGCAGAACAGCAGCAGCATGGGGCGTTAGGTGGCAGCACTCCATCCCAGCTCCCTCCCCTCTGCCCCCGTCATTCTTGTTGAACAATTGGCTAGTATTATATAAGGATAAAGCATCGACTATTTGTTTATATTTGCTTTTAATTTGTAATTAGTTGCAAGTAAATCTATCATCTACTTTGTAGCTTGGAGATGCATTCATATTAGTTTTTTTTTTCCCCCCCATCTGTCTTTCCATTGCATACACTATTCATGCTATACTCTTGGCTATAGGCCTTAACACTTCAGCCTGATGATGAAGTTTGTTAGAGCAGTGGTGCTCAACCTCTCGACCAAATCTGGCCCACAGGGGCCATGTCATTAAGGGCTCCAGGGGGCCCCATGAGTCTAGAAATTTGGCAACAGGAGGAGGCTGGCAGTGTTAATTGCTGTGGCTTCCAGAACCATTGCAATTAACACTACTCCCATGCCACCAGGGACCAGATGACATAGCCCCATGTGTGGGTATTGCTTTGTGGCCATATCCAGGACACTGGCACCAGCCCTAAGCCATTCATCTGGTCCTTGGAGCCAGAAGATTGAGCACCATTGTTAGAATCTTAGTATCTCAGTTAATCTCTGTTCTTTCTTTACATCCAGGTGACATGAATCTTATTCAAGTTTATGCTTCACAGACACAACCATTACAGGCGAAGACAAAACTGCTCTGTATAAAGTGAAAAGGACTGACCCCCTCCCCCAGTGCCAAATTAAAAAGAAAATCTTAAACTAGAGGTGGCTCTGGGAGTTTGCATGCAGACGCTTGATTGGTTAGGGCATGTAAATAAGACTAAAAGTCAGTGTTCAATAGAGAATGATGAATGGGAAGGAGTTGCCCTAATACTGATTTACAGAGTTGTTGACAGTTAGGAATTCACGGTGGATTAAGTTCCAGTGATTGGAATTTGAGTGTTAACATGGTCGAGCATGCTGAGGCTATTTGAAATACAATTCATTCCATTAAAGCATCCAGGGATTAACTTGAACCAGAAGATAGAATGATTTAGTAATGTCATCAGAAATTCAATCGCCAATAGTAGCCCTAGCATATTGTCCTATTCATCTGCCTTGCATCCTATATGTAATTACAGAAAATTATGTTTTTTTAATGTTGCTGCCTATGTAGGTTCAATATGAATATTTTCTTTGTGTCCAATTTATTTGTGGTCACATCATCTGCTAGTCACTCTTACTAACATCTCCAGCTGCTCATACTCCTGCCTCCAAAAACCAGAGACAATCATTTGTCCTACTAATTTTGAGCTTACTACCCAGTCTCACAGCAAGCAAGCCTCTTAAATGTAGCTGTGCTATGTAGTCAATTACCAGCATGCCTTTAAACAAAATGTTCCATT